CAATTTGAGTAAGGTATCTAGTTAGAGATGTAGTCTTTGACTAGGTACTAGAGGGTGCGTGGTACTTGAAGGACAGTGGGTGGGCTAACTCCATATGTGGATTGGTGATGCTAGCCAAGGCCGTGGTAGGCTCATACCCAAACTCTTCTATCCTGACAGTAGTACTGGACCTCCGAGTCTAAGTGGCACACCTGAGCAATCACCTATTGTTGTTTATACCTGGTTCTTTTCGGAGTTCCTAACGATGTCCTATACCTGACCTGATTGAGATAAGTCAAACGTTGGATTCAATAGAATTTATGCCACCTAGACTGCTCAACCTCAGTTGTTGGAGATCTCATAGTTGTATATACGTGACGACGCATTAGTTGATGTTGCATGGGTTGTTGCATTCAAGTTGTATATAATGTTGTATGAATGAGTTGATAGTTGAACTATTGTGATAAGTACTATGTGATTGTGTTGTGATGAGTTGTTGATCACTAGGACTAGAGGAGAAGTTTTCAAAATTGCTCATCCCATTGTGCAGATTGAGATAGTTGTGGTGCTCTGAGAGCCCAATTTGTTTAAAAACCTTCCTTGGAAAGTTGTCCCTTTGAGTGGATGATGTGTTGTTCTCCTCTAGGACTTGGTTGGTCCCGTGTGTGGACAAGGTCGAGGCACACATGTATGAAGCGACCACGGTATAGGGGTCAGGCCGAGCTATACTGATTACAAGCGGCCAATTTGAATAAAGTGCGATGTGTTGAAAAAGTTGTTGCTAGTAGATGATATTGTATATCTATTGTTGTAGATGTTGTGTTTAATTTTACATTACTAATATTTAACTTAACATTTTTTTTACATACCTCTTTCTCTTATTTTCACATGCACTCCCTTAATTTTTCTTTACCACTACCTATTTTGGTAGGTAATTTTAATTCTTTTAATTTTATATTATTCTTTTTTCCTTTCTCTTTTAGTTTTTTCATTGATTTCACTATCTGCATAGTACTCTAGAATAGTAAAAATATATTTTTCATAACACTAAACTTAATGTTAAGGTTTTTGGAGGGGTGAAAGAAAAGGAAGTGTTGAAAGAAAAAATATGTGTCTAGTTTGATAGAAACTGTCCGGAAGCTACACGTAATAGCGCGAGCTTGGAGCTCGTCCATGTCGGGAGGAGGTCGTCGGCAAGGGCTGTCGACGAAAGGTCCTGGCTTCAACGCCATGAGCATGAAGTGCAGTACGACCTCAGGATTTAAGTTGCGGATTTTGACGGAGATGCCAGCGAAGCGCTCCATGAATGTCCTTAATGGTTCGTCATTGCCCTATCTGAGGATGGCCAAGGCGGCGGATGTGATGTGATGAGGTCGGCTCGTTGCGTATTGCGCCGTGAATCGTCTGACCAGGGTGCCGAAGCTGTCAATTGACTCGGCAGGTAGCTGGGTGTACCAGTTGAGCGCGACCCCTTTGAGTGAGGTCGGAAAAACCCTACACAGATTAGCATCGTTATTGGTGTAGAGGTTTACCTGTGTGGTGTACAGGTTGATGTGCTCGTCTGGGTCTGTCGTGCCGTCGTAGCGGTCGAGGTGGAGAGGCTTCCATCCGAGAGGGAGTGGCGTCTCCATAATGCCATCCACAAAAGGATGACGGCGGAAGGTTGGTTGATCCCCCGCGACATGAGTAGGAGCATTGCTAACCTCATGGGTCGATTTGTGTGTCGGTGCATGAGATCCATGCGTGGCAGGCTTTGGAGTCGGTGTCTTATGCGCTGTTGGCGGTTGAGAAACCGAGTGCCCCTCTTCCTCGTTTAGGTGACTCGGTTGAGGGGGTTGATCAGAGGTGCGCCGTGGTAGCTGAGTGCGGATACGCTCATTCTCGGCGCGCAGCGCCGCTAGGTCTGCTTCATTGGCGGTTCGCATCGCGGCTAGGTCAGTTTCGTGCTTGGCACGCATGTTTTGCAGATCGGCGGTGTGTTGCTGCTGCATCTGCTCGACCTACTCGATCAGCCTTCTCAATGCTGCTTCGTTGTCCATGGTAGTTGCGTGATCTAGGTCGTCTGTTGCGCGTTTGCTATGGCTTCTGGTAGAAACCATAAGAGTGGCCGATAAGAGCTGTCTTGATCGGCCCCACGGTGGGCGCCAAATGTTCTTACCGGAAATCTACTGAAGAGATGATCCTCCGAGTAAGATTGGTGAGCCTCTTTCGCTGGTACGCTTGATGCTCCAAGATGGGGTGATACCTGCAAAAGAGACTCCGATGCTAAAGTTAGTGTTTGTGGGTGTATGAGTCTCGTATAAGTAATGCACGTACCTTTGTGTGTATTAGGGTTTTGTTGGGCCTTGGGTTCGAGATCAGTTTATGACCTAATTGGATAGCGAGTCGATGTCGCCTAGCGCGTGTCCGAGGTCACTCCGCGCTGTGATGCCGAGCTCAAGCTCGGCATAGCGGTACGGATAGTACACTAGCCCCCCGAGCTCCGAAGACCGTAGGTCTACGGAGTTAAGACCGAGCTTGACAAGGGGTCGTGACTTTTCACGTACGCCCATAACCGTCACCTCGTTCCCATAACGCGTGGGCAGCGCGGTGACAAGATTGTATTTTTATTTTTTTGATGACGTGGCCTCTTTGGGCCGATGTGGTGTTCCGATGTCCATGTTTCATGGTCGGGCTGAGGAGCTCGGCAATAATGAGCTTACTGCTTGGTTAGGCTGGTAAACATTTGATCGAGTCAGCAGATTGGTGAGGGACAAGTCGGCAACTCGGCTGACCAGTACAGAAACGTATTGCAAATTAATTTAGTTAAGTAAACAACAAATTTGATATATATATAAAGATCCATTTACTCTATGAGTAAGTCTACTTATATTTATTCCGTTTAATAACTTATGTTATACATCAAATTTTAATGATCCAATCGTTGAAATTAAAGTTTTTAATGTATAGATCAAGTGTGTAAATTTTTAAAAATTTTAAAACTCGTTTAATACATCATTTCATTAATTCAAATTATCGAATAATCAAAATTATTTTATACATTGATTTGAATTAATGAAATGAAGTATCAAATGATTTTTATTTTTTTTTTAAATTTGCATATTTGATTTATGCATTAAGAATTTTAAATTCAACAGTTCAATCGTTAAAATTTGTTGTAAAAAATGCGTTATTGAATTGAGTAAGTTTAGGTAGACTTACTCTTTGAATAAATGGATTTATCCTTATATATATATATGTGTGTGTGTGTGTGTATGTGTGAGAAGGTTATAATAACACTAAGTACTACACCATTCAATAACTTTATATTAAGTGTGAATTTTATAAATTCAACCGTTAGATTTAAAGTTCTTTAGTCTTAGATCATATATAAAAAAATTTATATTAATCTAAGATGATTTGATACTTCATTTCTATAAAATAAAATTGACGTAATATATTTATTTTAAAATATAAATATATTAAAATATGAACACATTAATTATCTTCAAGTTATTGTTCAATTTTAACAAAAATTGACATAAACATATAAAGTTGTTTTAGTTCTCATAACACTAATAATATATCTAAAAATGATATATTAAAATAATTATATACCATAAACTGAGTTTAATGTAATATTTGTATTAACAAAGATATTAATAAATAAATTTTATACAATAATATTTGTTAAATTTTCAAAAATAAATTGAGTATAAAAATTAAAAAATATATATTTTAAATTATAAAGGTTTAAAATATCAATTTTAAATTTTAGAAACTAAAATTAAATTTACTTTAAATTCAAAGAATTATAAATATATTTAAATTTATAACTAATATCTTTCTTTTAATATAATTTATTCGTTATCTAAAATCAGAATTCGGATCTAATTCCGAAACATCTACGGTCATCTATCTCTATGTCTAGTAGCTTGTGCTCACACATTCGCTTATTGAAATGCAAAGCTTTATCCAGTGAATTCGTACTTTTTTCTGTTCTATTTTATGATTTTTTTTCAAATAATAAAACAAAAATTTACAAACTATAATAATTTATTATAAAATATTTAAACAATGGTTAAATGATGTACAGTACAGCTATGTTCAAAGGATTACTTTTAAATTATTTTTCGTCTAACAAAATACAACTATAATTACTTTGGGATAATGCATACTCTATAAAACTATTTATCCCATTAAAAGTTTGATCCATGGAAATTAATTATTGATGGTAAATATTTTATATAATATTATTCTTATAAAAGAAAATAATAATTAAAATAATAAATAGTAGTAAAATATTTTAATTAAAAATTATAACAAAAAATGTAAATTAAAAGAGTTCCTTTTGATGGTGAAATCACTGAGAAAGCAGAGCCGTAGAGTTTCAGTTACAGAGCAACAGACTGCGCCAGTCTCCTGAGGACACGATTGCCGTCAGTCTTTTTTTGGACACTAATGAAAGAATCAATTTTTCAACTTCTCTCATTTCTCAAGCCTTATCTATGTCACCTTATGTAAATAAGTATCTATATTTTAATTTTGTTGGCATATAAAATAAAAAAAATATAATAAATTAAACTGAACAATTTTTGTTTTGTTTTATATATATATATATATATATATATTTTATGTTTGTAATATTTAAATAAAGGTTTTAAACAAACAAACAAAGAATTATTGTAGAAGTAGAAAAAAATAGAAAATATTTGTACAATCTCATAAATTTCAAAGATGTTTATATAATTTACTAAAAGAATAAATATTAATAAAACCTGAATGGGTTTGGGCTTAGCGTACCAAAATAATCCCCGTGATTATTGTATGGCTCATGATAAACACACCTCCACTCTGTTATAAATACACCCCCTTTTTTAAAAAAATATATAAAATATCTAAATTACCCTTTAAAAAAATAAAATTTTTAAATTTACCCCCCTTTTCCGTATCCCCTTCCCCGCATCCCACACTCCCCTTTCCGGCACCTTCACACCCCACACCCCCCTTTTAGGTTTTTGTTTTTGTCGTAGATTTGAAATCCTCTTATTGTAGGTTGGGCAAAAATGCTGAAGGTACCGGAGCACCAGGTGGCGGGGCACAAGGCCAAGGACGGAGTCCTGGGCCCTCTGGTGGATGACACGGGAAGATTCTACAAGCCTCTCCAAAACGAGGACCGCGGCTCCAGGGAGCTGTCGTTTTACTCCTCTCTCTCCTCCCACCCAAGCATCCCCCTGCCCTTCTTCCCCGCCTTCCACGGCACCAAAGTGGTGGAGGCCTCCGACGGCTCCGGCCCCCACCCCCACCTGGTCCTGGAGGACCTCCTCCGCGGCTACGCCTCCGTCATGGACGTGAAGATCGGCTCCCGCACCTGGCACCTCGGAGACTCCGAGGACTACATCGCTAAGTGCCTGGCGAAGGACCGAGAGTCCTCCACCATTCCCCTTGCCTTCAGAATCTCCGGCGTCAAGGACGCCCTCTCCGCCTGGGAGCCCCCCCGCAAGTCCCTCCAGAGCCTCTCCGCCCACGGCGCCCTTTTCATTCTCAGGAAGTTCGTCTCCTCCAACGCTCACCTCCACCATTCCCCTTGCCTGCGGCGTGTAACTAGAATCATAGAATCATGAGCTGGTGTAGGGTGTAGGGTGCGGGGAAGGAGGGTGAGGAGAAGGAGGGTGCGGGAAAGGGGGTGCGGGGAAGGGAGCGTAAATTTAGGAATTTTTTTTAAGGGTAATTTAGATATTTTATATTTTTTTATAAAAAAAAAGGGGGTGTATTTATATGAGAGTGGATGTGTGTTTATCATCTGCCTTATTGTATATTAACCTCATCCACTATCACAGTTTTAATGGGCTCATTTAGGCCCAGATTGGATTAGGAATATAAATTCACTGGAGTAACCCAATTAGGAATATAAATTCTCCTTAGAGAAAGTACACGAGGAATTGCATTTTTACGTAAAAATTAACAAATTTTACATAGAATATAAGAAAACTTGTTCTTCATTTCTCGGTGCACTAGGGTTTTTCCTAGGTCAAACCTCAAAGCCAGAGTGTAATATGCCTTATCAACTCTAGGGTTTTTAGTTTTATCGTTTCTTGTTTACGGGCCTCATGGGCTCCGAGAATATAGGGATTTTCTTAACCGTTCTTATTTTAAAAACATTACACCAATATGGGAATGTTGAGTCGGATCATGACCGACCGGGCCCATCCCAAGTAGTCCAGTCGGACATTGGCTGAGTGGGATCTCGACTATGAAAGATTAGAATGGGGATGGGGGTGTCGGAAGAAGACCGAAAGGTGGTGTATAGATGTGTCCAATCGGATATAGACCGACCGTCCTCCTAAGGGCCGGTCGAGGTGGTGGCCGGACTATTGTAAATAGAAACATCCTGTCGGTATCCGACCGTAACGGGGTTTTGAATTTAGATTTGTTGAGAGGTTATGAGAATAGAAAATCCTGCAAGAAAATATCTAGTAGCTGAAATTCTTAGCCTTTATTTTAACTACAAATGCCAAAACAAAAATTTGCACTGAAATCAAATTGCATTTGCTCAAATCCCGTCTTACAGAAAATCATTGGGATTCATATTATGTTCAAGGTCTTGCTTTGAAACCTGTTTGCATCACTATAATTTCTACGAATCAACAAAAATAAATAAATAAATCCCATGTTATATACCTTTTATTTTAATTAAATTATTAACGTGTGTTTAAAAATATTATATCTTGTACTTTTTAATTTTATATATTAAATTTATTTTGTATATATAATGATGATTATAAACTTTTAATTTTAAAAAAAATTAAAGATCTTAGATGCATCATTGGATCTGCTAAAGTAATTGCTTAATTGGGTAGGCAATTTGCCTTTATTGGATATTTTGTGCAACGTAGAAAAAACTACAAGTTTTGATGCACCTTGACTTTGAAAGATTCATTTCGCTTTGAAGATTGAGCGACACGACCAATAAGGCCGATCCATGAACATCCACAATAACATTAATAATTGTGTCATTTACTTAGATGAGTCATTAATCCTATAATTCTAATAATCTACTGGCTTAATACTTGTACCAAGTTGATGATGACCAAATTTTAAAATATTAGTTTAAAAGCCCCAAATTAAAACATTTAGGAATGATCTTTCCTTGACAATCTATATAGAATAGGGATTATTTTACAAGAAAGACAAATTTGAAAGATGTATTTTGGAACTTAGGCATAAAATAATTAATCCCCGGTGCAAATGACACCGCCGTCGATAAAAGCTACTCCAACTCCCAACAAATGAACACAAACAAAAGTTGCCTCCGTCCACGGTGGCGCACTTAAGCTGCCTCCGTCACCTTCACTGACATTTTTTTCCTTTTCCTATTTCATTTTCAACACGCTAAAATAATAGTTATTAATCTTCTTCTTGGTCTCCACCATTGGTATTAATTGGAAGCTTCTCGTCGTCTACCATATTTATTAAATTCTAGAAAGTAAACTATTACTCTTCTTAATCAACCGTGTGCTAAGGGTTTCCATCTAGTATTTTCTGCTGTCGTAATCTGATCATATATATCCACCAACAATTAAGCCCCAACATGCATGATTAACCTTTTGATTAGCCTTTTCATCGTGACGAAATAGTATATGCAATATATTACTCTTTTCAAAGTATAATATTTTAGACAAATTAATGAGCAGAAAACGTGTAAATAAATGACTTAGAGATTAATTTATTTTAAACTTAATGAGCTGGAGCCCTAAATAAGTTAAAATGACATTTTTACGATAAGATAAACGTTTAACAAAATATATAGATACATCAAAATTAAAACGGTTATATTGGTCCAGGTTTGAACTCAAATCTCCTAAACAAATTATAGTTTTGTAAAGAGAAAAAAACGAAATTGAGAAGATAAAGTATACTAAAGATGTTCAATAATATTTTTTAACAAACATAAATCATCGACAAAATTAATAAATTTAATAAAAAAATCAATTGACATAGAAAACTAAAACAATTAAATTAATGAATATTTCACAATTATATCATGATAATTAGAAATAGAATTAAAAGTAGTTTCCAAATTTTAAGAGAAATCAAGTAAAAAGAAAATTTATCTGTGACCAAGTCAAACCTTATATCAAAAACAAAAATTTAAAATACAATTAATTTTTTAAATTTAAGCAAATATCTTTATTAGTTTTTATTTAATTGATTGTATCTTTTAAATCATTTGAAAACCACGTAAAATATTCCATCAACATACGTAAGGGGAGGTAAGAGGTCTATGCATACTCCCTTGTTAATATCAAAAACCTAGAAACTACATCGCAATTTCCATGGAGATTCAACCCCAATGTTCCTTGCATACAATTCACAAATACCATTGTTTATTGTACGCGGCATCTAAGTAGTACATGAGTGCATGAGATTATTTCTGCTATCTAATATAATAAATTAATCAATGATTGAAATTAAACACCATGACCTAGTACTCCCAGTTCTATCTGAATTTGCTAGGTAGTCCCTGAGCTAAATGGTGGAAATTAATAATACGAGGTAGTTGAAGAATAACAGGGTTTGGAACCGTTACATGTTCCCCCTAGTTCTCGACCTTGCAAGGTAGGGTAGTTAATTATTAGTTAGTGAATGTGATGCACTAAGGTCAATGTGAAGACCAAGGTCAACACCAATAAGTGTTGGTTTAGCAAGCATTTTGTCATGCAGTGGCAACAAGATCGATTACACCGCGGAAAAAAGGTACGAGATTAATTGAAAGGTTATCTGAAACGAATTTAACGAATTGATTTGCTATGTGAAAGGTTTTGGTCCCTTTGGATGATGTTAATGGTGGATACGTTCTATGTTTTATGTTATCTGTTTTTATTTAGAAGTGTTTCCATTTGACATTTTCGTATTTATGTTGCAGTTCTTTGTATTTGAGAACAAACTTGAAATGCAATGTCTTTGGTCAGAAATACTAAAATAGTCATTGGTACTTCTTTTTTTTTTGGCAAATGAGATAGTGTTGATGGGTGCTGTAATGTCTAATTATATAATATTAAATATATATTTTCTTATATGTTATTATTATAATTATATCATTAATAATATTTTAAACAAAGACAAAAAAGATTTTTTAAACTTGTTCATAAATAGTTAGTTTATAATTATATTACATACTATTCTAAAAAAATATTTATAACATCATATTATTTTACACACTATTTATTTCTCTTACTTCTACTATAATATTTATATTGATGGTGGAAATAAATTTACAATTGGATTAATATAGTTGGCGGATGATAAAAAAATTACTATAATAAGTCCATCAATAATAGTAGAATTTTCTTGGCCAAAAAAAATATGAAGATAATCATATGCCTTGAAACGTAATAGAGTTGGAAACAACTTTCACATTCCAATTCCTTATAGGGAAGATAGCAGTAATAACAACTGTAAAAAGACATAAAATTGCGGGTAGATCCATCTATTTTGTTTTAAAAAAAGGGAAAATAAGAAGTGAGAACAAATATCCAATAAATACAAATAATGTACAAAACTATTTATAATCAATATTAAATATATATATATATATATATATATATATAATATATATATATGTATGTATATATTTATACATATAAATATATTTTAGACTGTCTTGTTATAATAAAATTTAAATTATTTTAGTAGTGACTAGTCAATATAAATGAGCATAATAATATCAACTAACAAAAGAATATTTTACCTTAATTCCTTACTCATTTAAATCTCCAAGGTTAAACCTCCAACTACAAATTAATTCAAACTTTATTTCTTATGACCATAGAATAACATATATCTTTATAATATATGAAGAAATAATAAAAAGATGAGCTTAGAATATTTTAACAAAGCTATATTATAGTTATAATTAATATAAAATAATTATGCTAAATAAGTTTAAATATTTTTAATTATTTAAAATTTAATATAATATAGTTTACAAAAATGAAATGTATTAAAAAATATTAATTTATTAAATGACAGTGATAAACATCATAAAATAATTAAACAACATAAACTAGGAACACCTCATTAATTATTAAGAGTAAAAAATATTTCATATTAAGCAAGTAAATGAGGTTAGAGACACATCACTAAATAAATATACATAGATATAACATAAATAAACAAACATAATAGTATATAAAATTTTAAAAGGATAAATATCTCCTCCCCCTTACCTTAGTAGAAAAATGAAATGACTTGGAGGTATTCTAAAATTATATATTTATTTTCTCCTTTCTCTCTTTTCTTTTTCTTTCTTCCTTCTTAATATTCTTTCTTTCCGTAAGTTCTCTCTTTCTCTCTTCTCAAATTTTTGTAGTTCCATATTCCCCCACCACATGGCCTATTTATAGTAAATTTGGTAATGATTACTTAGTTTGCATGTAATGACATGTTTTTCCTTTTTGGTTGATTTCCAACCATTGTTACTTGTAGATAGAATCTTTTTACTAATGGATATGTTTCACTACATAATCTTATCCATACATTTAATGTAGATAAGGTATCTCTCTCTCTTTCTCTCTCTCTCTTTAACCTTCTTTCTTCTATAATAATTATTTATATTAAATAT